ATAGACTAATAACATGCAAAAAGTAGACAAATTCTTACCTCTGGCTTTCTAGTTATGTCACAAGAGCCATTACAAATTCATCCAAGCTAGTTGTTAACCTTCCCACGGGATCAAATCTTGTACTGTGAATGAAATTGATGATACTCTGTTCAGAATACAACGTTATACAATACATCAGCTGATAGATGAAAACCTTGACTTTCTATTGGTTATAGGTTACATATAATTAAATGTAAGAGAGAACTATCAAAGAATTGTGAACAAGAGGATGTAACAGGTGGGTGTGACAAGAGGGGTCTGATTCTCTGTAACCAAACAATACTGAAGGCTATAAAAATTATGGTTTGTTGAGCAATAACTATTTTATAGAGAGTATTTTACGTTTAATTTTGTACATTTTCAAGGGGTGATGGATAAAGTAGGGATGATGATATGCTAAGACAAAATGTGTCACGTGGTTCACACTAGCGGAAATTTAAAAAAATTTTAAATATTTTCTTGTAGAATTAAAAACTTAAAACTTGTATACTATTAAAATATGGATTATTAGCTAATATCTTAAGCTATTCTAATTGGCATAACATAAATAAAAAGTAGTTTAATAACATTTTTAATGTAACACACTAAACCCTTGCGTCTTGTGCCATGCGCAGTAAAGGGTACCGGGGGTGTTAGGATTAACTTCCTTTACTCCTAAAGTAAATATTAGTCCACAAATAAATACCTAAAAATGACAGCATGAAATTTGATATAACTTTTCTGTATTTAAAAGTTTTGTAGAAACTAAGCAAAATGTTCCAGTTAATGATCAATACACTGTTGACATACAACACACTTTTGCTACACATTTCTAATAAAATTACTGCATGTTTTAGTTATATTATTTCAAAATGTCACATACTTCCATTAACGTCCTCTGGATCTCTCTGTCTGCTGATGTGCCTTCTGAAAAACGTCTTCCACCTAGTTAATAAAAAAAGACATTATCCAAGCTAGGCCATATTAACATCTTATACTTAGAAATTCAAAAGATTGTTTTTACAGTAAGTGTCAACACTAAGTTTGCTTCAAATAAATCAATACAAGAAAAAATCAAAATTCACAAAAGTTTGATAAGTTTTATTTCTATGTCATTGAAATTATTAAATGTATTTACAGCCAAGATCCTTCCTTACAGAATTATTTGAGTTATGAAGATAAAATACAAAGATTACTAACAAAGGTCCTTACCAATGGCATCAATTTCATCCATAAATATGACACATGGTTGATGATCTCGAGCATAGTTGAACATTTCTCGAATCAAGCGAGCACTCTCTCCTATGTATTTGTCCACAATAGCACTAGAAACAACCTAGAAGAAACATATTGTATTATAAATACAAATAACATGTATTAAGATTATACAAAGAGACTCCTGTACCAGAATATTTTTTTTGTAACTTCTTAAACAAAGAAACATATTTAGGTTCACTTCATTACAATAGAATTTCAAATTATCATTTGCACAAGTATCAAGCATTAGTAAAACTGAAAATCAGCTATTAAGTATTACGGTAAAACTGAAATCCAGATTTATGAAATATATCTCATTACTAAAGACAAAAAAAAGCACAATATAGATTTATTTTTTAACATTTCTACTTTTATTTGATTTGTTGAATTACTGAGTTTTAGAAGTTTCATAAATTACCCATAAATTTTTATGTAAAACAAAAATCAATATTCACAATTTCCATTCTAAAATAAGCCTAATAAAATTAGATTTACCTTAAGAAAATTAGCATCAATCTGACTTGCCACAGCTCTAGCTAAAAGTGTCTTTCCTGTTCCTGGAGGTCCAAATAAAAGACAACCTTTAGGTGGAGTAATACCTACTCTCTGGAAAAGCTCTGGATTCAATAATGGTAGCTCAATCACCTGAAGGAAAAAGTAATAGTGTACAATAATTACATATTTGGTTTCAATGGGTTATTTGTGTTGTGCCCACCAACAATATCGAAACCAGGTTTTTAGCATTTCAGTCTCTCAGACTTTCTAATGGATAATTGGATCAATTATCTTTAACCTATTATATATTAAAATGTTAACTAATCACAAAATCAAGAAAATAATTTTAAATACAACAAAACAAATTCTTCTACGAGTATAAAAATATTTGATAAACTCATGTCTATATTACTAAGATAATCCAGCATTAGGCTACAAAGCAGATATAAGAGGTTTTTAACTTGTTACTATGAATGAAATAAGATAACCTTTAAAAACAAAAACAACTATAACAGAACCTTCCACTACTAAAATTAAGGTTGTTTGTAATGAGACTGTGTGAACTTAAAACTATATACAACAGAGAAGACAGAAAAGTTCAAGTTTTGAACCCAACAAAATGGGGTGTAATTAAGCTCTACATTTGTATTTTAACATATTTTACAACTTGGACATTTCAATTGTCATATGTAAAGCAGAGATGTATAAAAGGGTACATTTTAAAAGAGTAATAGAACTACATTTAACCATCAATGATAACTAAAAATTAACAAATTAAACAGTCTAACCTCCCTCAGTTCTCTAATCTGTTCTCCCAATCCACCAATAGTAGAATAAGATACATCACCTGGATCTTCATGTGACATGTTATACACTAATGGGTCTACTTCTCGAGGAAGATATCTGCAAAAATTAAACTAATTTTCATCTCTTTTATGTGTCACATCTGTTAGGTAAACAAAAATTAAATAAAAAGTAGCAAAATGTTTTACCAATTTCCTTAGAAAAATGATATTTTGTTAGTTTCTTTCTTTTAAGTATGAAAAGGAAGGACAGTAAACATACTAGATTACATGACTCAGTATTTTATATTCTCAAAGCTGACTGTATGCATATTTTATATCTATGATAAGAAGCAAATAAAAGTACATTATTTGAAATGTTTTACCCAGCCTTAATAGCTCTTAACAAAAAGTACCAAAATTGAATTATAAACCTCATAATTGTAAGAGTTGTCATATCCAAAGCAACTCTTGTTCCTGATTTCAATCGAGTCTTGTCCAACTGACGACGACATCCTACTACATATCGAGGGCCATTGGTTGCCTTTACAATGACTGTAAGAAAAATTTTCCACTCCTCATTTTAAAAAATTTAAGACCTCCAACTGCTTTTAATTTATTTAATAAATAAAATATATGATAAAACAACAACTAACCAGACTGTAAACTAAAATGTTTAACCAATGCATGTATTAAGGACGAAGAGACTTCGTGGTGTTTTCTCTCTCTTTTAAACAAACTTATTCCACATTTCATTTTGCTTAATATCATTTTTAAAGCTTGACAGCAAAATTAAAAATTAGAAAACTGAACAGTATTATTTTATTTTTATTCATTTTCTGAACTGTACTTGGCAGAGATAGTATTCGTGTTTACTATTTTATGTATATCAGATAACATACATATTCAGGAGTGAATTTAAACCAGTACACAGAAAGAAGTACTCTATACAATTATAAGCATTAAATATAGTATTACAGCACAATTTTTACAATAATTATTATACTATTAAAGTATAAAACAATGATAATATAAGACGTATTTCTTTACTGCATACAAAAGCTGATCTAGCTAGCAACAGCCTGATAATTGACAATAAAAGTTGAAATACAAATAAATAAATATCCATAACACAGGACTACCAGGTATATCTTGACAGCCACAAGTTTTACTTCTTTTCTTAAAATATTGATCTTACATTTAAATATAATCTAAGATAAATATGAATTTGAACTGAGATTGCATTAAAGTGGAAAAATTATGTAAACTTATAATGGACCAACTTTAATACACAATTTGTAGTGCTAAAGCCTCTGCCACATTAGCTTCTAACATGGAAATAGTGTTAGATATGAAGCAATCTGGTCTTCTAACATGAGTGATGGCATTGTTCAGTCGGAGACAATATTCAATTTAAATTTAGAAACTTAAAATGTTGTAACAGTAATTATCTGCCAAGTTTCAATCTCCAATAAAAAATTTTCTTATTTCTAGTATAGCCTCAGTTAACACAGCAAGTTAATATTTGCCATTGTTGAAAGTAACCAGACTGACAGAAGGACCTTAAGTGACAATATTTATTGAATTAAAGGTGCTACTATAGCATCCGGTCTACACAGACACTATCATCATCATCATCACCGTTTTAACTTTTATTTATTTGCAATTGGTGCCAGTTATTAGAAATAATGCTTTTAAACTAATAAAGTACAAAATACCATTACATAACATTTTTGGAGCAAATAATATTGGAATGAAATACTTTTCAACAATCAAAACTAACACAATTTTCACCTAAATTTAAGGTACTCTTTTAGAACACACAAAACAAAAACGTGGATAGATATAAGTCATTTAGCAGGAAATTATGTTTTAGTGAATCATTAAAACAGTGATGATGATAGTATCTGTGTAAACCACACACTATAGTATAAATATTTTTGTAGAGCGCACCGAATTAAAGTAGTCACAAATATTTTGCTTAAAATCTAAAATATTAACCTTAATGTTACAATACAAAGTAAGAGATGTTTCAGCATTATATTTTACTTAGGCATAAATAATTGCTAACCTTAGGTATCTCTGCTTAACATTCTTAAGAAAACTCATGTCAATACTAAATATCAGAGAAGTATACAATTGTTTAGCACTAACCTATGCAACATGGTTACCAGAACCTGTATTTTAGGTTTTCTAGTAATATTTTTCAATTATTTTCCTGGATTCTAAGTCATTATAAATTTAAATAGATTTGCCTTAATATTTCTGATGTTCAAGATTTTTAAAAATTTTAAGAAACAAAAATATTTTCTTCAATAATCTACATTTTAAATGTGTGCTAACAAACATTTTTCTTTCAGTCTCTTACCGTTTTCATTTGATTTTTCTCTCTAATAACTCTGAATCATGTGAATATATAACTGGCACATTTAACTGCAATTATACTACCTGACAAAAATATTTCTTAAAATTCACCCACAGATAAAAAGTTTATTTTTAATGTGACATTTTGGGCAATATAACCTCACTTCAAAATTAGGGACAGCTAGCACAGATCTCTTGAACAACTTTGTTCAAAATTCAACAAACAAACACACCACATCAATAAAAAAGAACAACAGTTCAAATTGCATTTATACCTTCTTCAATATTAATAATTGTTATCATTTTGTTTAGCTACATGTGTTTGTATTTTAAATCTCAATTCATGCTATGTTATAGAGAACTCGTATATCCTTCTCTTTATTAATTGTATTGTGTGAATATGAGATTATGGGTTATGTCATTCGTTTGTTTGTCCTAATATTCTCTTAGTTATTTATATATATTCTCATATTTTAGACTAGACGGAAAGCAGTTAGTCAACACCACCGTCACGTTATAACATCTCTACAACTAAAAGTGTGAGCATATTTAGTGACAGAATTCAAACTTGTGACCCACAGGTTGCAAGTCAAGCCATGTTAGGCCCCTTATAGGTTTAGATCTTAGGTACATATGCAATGTATTTAAAAGGAGTTCAAGCCTCTTCTTAAAGTTCTATAAGATAATACACATCTTCAGGAAGCCTGCACACTTTGACCCAGAGTAAAAGATGACTATTTTTATTTATATAGATTTTAAATAATTAAAGAAGCTCCTTGCAAAACTTAACTAACACTAAATGCAGAATGACAAAGCCAAATCTAAACAACATTGTTTAGAACAGTTCTTTTCAAAAATCAATCAATAAATAATGATTGATTAAAAATATCGATCATGCTTCAACCCCAACATCCTGCAATTTGAAAGCAGAACATAATGTTTTCAATGTGTGCCTTTGTTACAAAAACTAACAACAAAATTTGCAAAACCACCAGAAAACACACCATTACTTAGTAATTATGTTAATATACAGTTGTATAAGATATATATATATATGAATGACATACTGGAGATGAAAACATACTACTGTGCATATTGGTTAGAAGTAAAATTTTTTATATTTTGACAGGAAAACGCCAATACCAGTTTTGGCACTTTCATGTGCCCTCCATGATCATAAAGTTTTTAATAACAAAGTTAAAAAAAATGTGTAGATTTCAGCTTAATTTTAATACATCTGAGTATTACAAGTATAATACGATATATTCAAACATCAGTTTACGATTTCTTAAATCTCTAAATTATGAGAAATTCCCTTAAAAAATTGCTATTAAAATAAAAAGGTATGTATGATTAAAGGGTGCTAATTATCTCTGACAGTTTAGTATCCAGCAATAAAAACTAGGAGGCAGGATAATAGCTTATCCCAGTGCCAACCATCTCAGTTAAGTCTTGGCAACCAAGAACCTACTTATTGATAGGCATGTATATTACCATGCAGTCAAACAATGGATATATAAAAGTCTTTGCAGGATTATGCTAATATGGACAACCTTAAAGTATTTCAATACTTAATGGAAATTCAATTATTGTTACAATAAGTTCTGTGATGTTTAATTATATCAAAAATACAAAAAAAAACACCACACCTCTTTTAATGAAAAAAAAATCACTAAAATTCCAAGACACTATACCAATTTTTGGTATGCTAAAGTGTACTTTTTTAGTTACAACAGCAAGCCATGATTATTAAAACTAACATAACTGACAGGACCTGATAAAAGATTTATTAAGTACTTTAATGATTTTAAGCATTCCAGAAACACTGGACCTCTCAGCTATCCATCTATGCACAAATTTTAAACATACTTAGGAAAATATTGTCTATAGCTTCCAAATACAGCTCGCAGTTCTAGTTTTAAAATTGCTATTATTTAAAGAGTTTAATGTTTTCTAAGACTACTTACATTTTTCTTCAGTCAACTGCTTTAAAACTTCTCCCACAATCTAGAATCAAAATATATTATAGTTACTACTGAGAACAATTGAAACAAAAATGTCCTCAATAGCAAAATTATAATACTATCCATCAACAGCTTGTAGTTTATATGACAACAGCCTGAGATTAATATTGCATATTTTTAACATTTCTTAATTCTGTCTTTATTACATGGTAATTTATATGTAAAAATTTAATTGCAATAGCAATCACTAAAATGTTTAAATTGCACTTTATCTGTTGTATCAATAATGTTTTTCACATGAGATTGATTGTATTCAACATCAAACTGGATTTTTGTATGCCAATTTCATTTAAGATTTCATATTCTTATTCTCAACTAAACATAATTAAACAGATTAAATAAAATATGTATATTAAAAGCTATTAGTTGTTTTGCTTTCTTAAAACAAAAATATCTTTCAAAAGAAAAATAATTAAATCGTCTGATAGTTTGATTAAAATTTTCTGAATTATGATGTTTCTACAATATAAATAAACACAATTTAAATACATTAACATATAAAAATAGTGAACCCTCAAATCCTTCAAATTACACAGATGTCAGACAACAGAGCATGTTAAAACAAAATGAAATTTTTATAGGAATTTTAAATGTAAGAGGAACATAATGAATTGATAAAAAATGCCCATCTGGATTCCATTTCTGTGGTGGGAAAAATTCTAGGTAGTCTGATGAAAGAATCTTTGCAAAATCATCTGGTGAAATTTGATACCATAAAATAAAAATAATGTGGATTTGTTTACTATTGTTAACATTTTCTAATGAAGTTACATGTTATTTAGATGATGGAATAAGTTATTCAAGCTGCAAGGGCAGTACACTGTCACTAGTGGCAAAGCTAATAGAATTTTAGGGTTTATTTATAAACATATTGATTACAAGTCAAAAGAGGTAATTATCTCTTTATGCAAATCACTAGTTAGAACTCATTTGGAATGTGTAGTTTTGGTCTCCTTATCAAGGAAAGGATATTGACTTATAGAAAAAGGTTCAGAGAAGATCAACTAAGATGATCCCAGTTATGGATGGGTTATCATCTTATGGAAGTAGGTTAAGATCTCTTGATTAAAGATGGTTAGTACTGATCTTATTGAAGTCAACAAGATTAGCCAATGGATCTATCAGTCACAGGTCTATGATTTCTTTGTGTTGTATTCTGAAGACAACAGTACAAAAGGACACAAGTATAAAATTAGGAAAAGGCAGGCTAGGTTCCTATTAAGACAGTTTTATTTTTATAAAAGGAAAATCAGCTTATGGAATGACTTGTTGTTAGAAGTAGTAGAAGCTGATATTCTATAAGAATTTAAAAGGGAAATTGCTAATTTCCTTAAAAATAAAGGGTCAGTTTAAATGTTTACTTTTTCTTAAGAGTGGGTGCACAGGGACAACCTTGAAGCACCAAACAGTCCCTGTTATGAGTATATTATTATTATTATTTACAATAGATGTAGATCCAGTTCAAAATTAATTAACAAAAAAAAACATTTTATTGTTCTTCAGGGATTTGTCAAAAAGCTGGCATATTCTACATTATAGTGTTATTGCATACAAAAAGTAAAATGTTTAAAAGTTTCAAGGAAGTTATTATGTAAAAAAAAAGAGGATGGAAAATTATCTAAATATGAAAAGTTGGCATTTTGCAACTGTTTAGCATTATATTTTAAGATAAGACTATATTTGGGAAATGATGTTAGATAACTTATGCTACTGAATAATATACAAAATGAAATGGCAATATGAAAGGGTATATATTATTTATATGAGTCAGTTTCATAGAAAGACTGATAAAGATAAGTAAAGCTAAAACAGAAAAATATAAATCATACCTGTAACAAATGTATAGTAACAAACAATTATGTTCCAATACAGAAACTTATTTAACAAGCACAGATCATTATGAAAATAGGAATATAAAACAAATGATCAAGAACAAAAAAAATACATTTAACCCTCAAATTCCCACTTGATTTTATACCATTGACTACTAGTGGGGTCCATATATTACACCATATTGAGTAAGTTTATGTTTTTAACTGTTACAACACTGGGTGTAAAGAACTGACCTCATACATTAGGTGAAATCATTCATTTTCTTTGTCAGAATACATAGGGAACATTAGTGGAATTAAATGCAATATTGATACTGTTTTTATAAGACTCATGTGTTACTAGGGGTCTATAACCCATAAACTCATGGAATCATGATTTGTAAATGCTTTAGAAAAGTACGCTTAAAAAGATGTTGAACCCACTGGACCCCAATACTAAATCTAACAAAGTCAAACATCCAATATCAGTAGATGAAAATATTGATAAAATAGAAACCTTATGCACTAAAAAAAAAATGTAGTTCACATTTGTAACATGAATATCTTTCAGATTCAGATACTCATTTGTTAAGACAGCTAGAAATCTTACTATGAGGTTTACATAAACTTGTGATGATCAAAATAATATAAATGTAAACTGACTTTAGGTTCAGAAATAAAACATTACATAACTTGTGATAAGAATATGTGTGTGTGTGTGTGTGTATGTATGTGAAATAATGAAGATGATGAAAATTTTAATTCACTTTTATATAATCTGGTGTTAAACTACGTCTATTCTTTTTAAGCCTTTTATGCAAATTATTTTTGATGTAGACATAAATAATTTTTGAAATATATTCAGAAAACATATAATAGATATACTGTAAATGAAGAAAATGTGTATTCTAAAAAGCTAAACATTAAAAGTAAACATGAAACAAAAAACATGCAAAACTAGCTTCAATATGCATAAGTGCTTTAAGTATATGTGCAAGTGTTAAAAAGCCTAAAAATGAAAATTAACCCAGGTATAAACTGAAAGTGGCAATTTAAATATATAGAAGTAATAATATTCTTACCTGTCCTACACTTTGTAATGCCTTTAGATCATTTTCAGATTTTTCATATTGTTTATTCAAGTCTCTTAGCTGTTCTCGAACTGAAAATGTTAAGAATTACTGAAAATTTTTTTGTGTAACACTTTGAAAAAATAGGGATTCTGTTAGAATTTCTAGAAACCAGAAGAACACTAATTACTAGTGATCATATTTCAAATAACTTTTAATAGTTTTATTATTCGCTGTTATCTCAAAATAACAACAACAAAAAACAACTGTATACACTTTAATGCATAAATATTAAAAGTCTAGAAAAATCAAATCTTACAAGAATGAAACTAATAAAATTGACTGAATATATTAAATTGCATGTAGTTTTATCAGCAGCATTTTAAACATTTTCAGATGAGCTACAATGAAACTAACATGACTACTATTATACATCAAACTAGGTTTACAAATAAACCACATGACAGTATGAAATAAAGTTAAAATACATTATACTATGAAACTTTTTGTATTATGCAGAAAAAATTAACCTTTTTTAAATTCCAACTGATAAGTATAATTAGTTTATTAACCAAATATATCTAACAACAAAACATGAGAATAGTGAAAGTAATTTTGTTTCAGATATTCTACAGAGTTATACAAGAGATATCTGCATGACAGAATGATTCAAGTATGTTCCTGGAAAATGTACACTAACAATCGAAATTTAAAAAATGCTATTATTTTTTAATTTATCTACTGATGCATGACTTACTTGTGAATGGCAACATTCACCTATTGTGTATAATTTAACAAAACTTAGTATAATTATTAAACTAAATGACAGTGCAGAGAATATGCAGAAACTTAAGAAGTTTATCTACAGACTAAACTATAGAACTACTTTTCAAGAATTAGACATGATTATGAAACTTGAAACAAACAACAGTACCTTTGTTTTTTAAAATCAGGGAATATTAAATTTCATTAGTAAATATTTTTATGTAAAGTACAAAGTAATATAATTCTTTATGATTATATTACAAACAATTACATTTACACTACAGCAAGTTCTGGTATAGAAATTAAACTATGAAATTTAACTTTTTATAAGTGGTGTATTTCACCTACCTTAGAGTCTAGTGATTTAAGCCTCAGTACTGTTAGAACAATATGCCTTCTCATAGTGTAAACAAGTTACAGTAAGAAAAACAAAAAAAACTATTAATAATTTCATGATATATATTTATAAAAAAAAAGCTTAATTTTGGAATACTGAGTAATAAACAAAATTATTTTTGATCTGATGTCAAACCATTTCACACTAGAAGGGACCATGTTATTCCAACAACAGAGCTAGGAACAGACAGGGGCAAAGTGATACTGTTTGGTATTTCCTGTGTAGTATCTCAGTCTTGTATTTAGCACATTAGGATGATATGTACTACACAATACTACAAGATATATGATGTCCATTTGAAGATCTATTTAGTGAATGTATTACATGTACACACGAGTACTTATGCCGTGGCAATCAGCCATCAAATGTTGCCTATACAATCACTTAAGTCTAATTATTAACTTATGTTTTTTAGTTATGAATTACTGATAAGGCTACTAAATGTGACAATGATAAGTACATATGTAATTTACAATGTAGTTTTGAGAACAGAATTTTTTTCTATCTATCCATGTTCAACATTGAGTGATGAGAAGAGAGAGAAAATGTTCGAGGTGAATGCCTTTCACTGACACTTGTATCTGTAGGGTACAAGAAAAAGAAAGTATGGGTTCATGATATTTTAAGAAAAAGATTACAAATGGGAGAGTACCACAGACTTGTGAAAAAGCTGGAAGATACATGTATCAAACAATACTTCAGACATCGAAAGAATAATTCAAGGAACTGTTTGACCTTATAAAGGATGGCATTACAAAAACAATGACCTAAAGGTTAGCTATATTTTTCATGAGTACAAGGTTTTAATAATAATAATGAATGGCAAGTATATTGGCAGTAGGAAAAAAAAATTCACTCTTGTTTCAATCCTGATGATACCTCCCAACAACATGGAAGGACTAACAGTATTATGCTGTGCTTATTGGTCAAACATCAACAAAAAGAAATGACTGCAATAATGGCAATAAAAACTAAATATCACACATACCATGTTGCACCTCTTTATTTCCACCTTAATCATCAAGTTAATGGTCATTGGAAGAATAGAACAAACAGCTACCAAAGTTTAAGTTTTGGAAATTATGAGGTAGATGAGTATTCAGTTAATAAAAGTAAAACCTTAGAGTTTAAATAATAGACTACATCAATTATTGGCCATACTTACAAGAATCTAAATTCTAATTCTAAGTTATACAAATTACAATTTTCAGCTAAATATTTATCTCTAATTTAGTAATTATTACTATACCACAGAACTTTGAAGAAATATATTCAAATTGTTTATATTATAAAGAATAACGATTGTCAACATACCATTTCACCTGCATTATGTAGTACATATTCAAACTTTCATTTACAGAATTGTTCACGTTTGATCTACTAATCTGTAGATAAGCTCAAACTTGCTGATTCATTATAGCCTATTGTGACACTACTGTAAATTACTATTTGTATCAGTTTATGTTTAATGTATCACTTTATACCATGACGACAACTATTCGTATTACTTTCAGTTTCATAAATTTAGACATAAGTTTGTTAAGATTTACCTTCTTTCAGCCTACTTTCTATTTCTTTGTGTTCCAAAAGTTTTCTCCGATAATCTTGCAAAACCTTTTCCCTGCTCGAATCAACCATAACGCCCGCTGCCATCTTTGTTATGACTATGCTAATCTGCTAGACAAGAGTTTTTTAAATACCGTGTAATAGTATTTTGTGTTATGCTTACAAATCCTGAAAATCACCAAGTAATCCTGAAATAAGTCGTAAAGACACCATAGTTTTATTAAAACACTTTACATAAATTTCACAAGCTTTCTATATTTTATTACTGTTAGTACCCATGTGGTTATTTTTTTATTGTCAGATATGAAAAAACGACGAATATGAAAAGTGATGGGATAAGAAAGTGGCATACTCAAATGAGTCAATATAGTCAATTATACAACAGCTATTTCTTAGCGCTTGGAACAATAACATAAACGAAGTTTTAATAAAAATGAATTTATTCTTTAAAAAAACATTCTCTATGGCACAGGTTCCCAAACTGTAGCCCTGAAACCACTGGCGGTACACCGTACACAAGCTTCTTTCAGGTGGTTCGCAGAAAGGTTTCATAATTACAGGGCCTGGTAAGGCTTGATGTCGAAGGGACTCGATTCGTAATCTGAGGGTCGTGGGTTCGAATCCCCGTCACCCAAAATGCTCGCCCTTTCGAGCATGGGGTCGTTTTAATGTGACGGTCAATCCCAATATTCGTTGGTAAAATAGTAGCCCAAGAGTTGGTGATAGGTGATGTTGACTAGCTGTCTTCCCTCTAGTCTATCACTGCTAAATTAGGGACGGCTAGCGCAGGTAGCCTTCGTGCAAATTTGCACAAAATTCAAAACGAACTAATCCTTAATTATGGAAAGAAAGACTATGTAGATTCCGGAGCAAACACGACCCTTGAGACCTTACCTATTCAGGGGCGGATTGGCCTATCGGGATACCGGGACTTGTCCCGGTGGGCCGATAGTCCAACTCAATTTTGGGCCGATCTA